GGGCCAACTGATTGAGGCTCTACAGTCAGTCGGCTACTTTGTTGCAATGTGCGGTGACGGAGCCAACGACTGCGGTGCCTTGAAGGTGGCTCATGCGGGCATTGCTCTTAGCCAGGCCGAGGCTTCTGTCGCCAGTCCCTTCACCTCAGGCGTACAAAACATCAGCTGCGTGCCCAGACTGATTCGCGAGGGCAGATGCGCTCTGGCCACCAGCTTTGGCACCTTCAAATTCATGATGGGCTATTCACTCACCCAGTTCACCAGCATTATTTTGCTTTACTCGGTAAGTTACGCAGTTGACCGCCTACTCTGGCTGTCTAACTTTAGCTCGCAAAACTTTGTTTACTTTAGGTCGAAGTAGCTTGTTTAAACTTCAGTTACCCTCACTAACGGATGTTTGACTGTCGTTAACCAAACCACTTGTCTGAACATTCTAATTTGGGTTTAGCTGGTAGGCGTATGTCATACATTTTCCACGCAATAGTCTATCGGCAGCGGTTTAAACAAATGCCGTTAACTGCATATCCAGTTTTACAGTAGATTGCCTACCTCAAGAGATGTCAACCGAAATTCTGAAGTGGGCTTTAGATTCGAACGAATTATTTAAGTTGGGTTGTGGTCTTGATGGTCATGCAGCCTAGTCGCACGATATTTCCGTTACGTCCGGATGCAAGCTCTTGGACGACCTTCTTTCTGCTCGCTTACAAAATCCATGCGATGTACAAAAATGGCTGCTTAAATCGTCTGCATTTTTCTCTTTGGTTTTAAACGCTTTTATACATGTAAGTATATTTTATAATCCTTTGTGATCCTTTGGTATCGCAGTACGCCTTTTTCACCTTGTGTACTTGAAATAAGCGTTTATTTGGGTTTTTAAAAATTTATTGAATTGTCAAATTGCCAAATAATTTTGAATCCTACCGGCCGTCACATTTGCACTCATTTTTTGCAAACTGTATGATGTATATATCTTTCTCTACACAATATGGAAGAGTTCAAATAGTTTCTTGACAAATTAGAATGAGTGAAGATAGCGTTGTATACTTTGTAGGCAACATTATCATTTCACGGATTCGATATACTTCGAATGAGCATTTCGTGTTCTTAGAAATAACATGATTATTAACTTTTTACAACGGACACGTATCCTTTACTCAAGCATAACATTTGAATTTCCTACCAAACAAGTACGAGAAGGAATTTTTTGTGCATGGTTTCTATAAAATATATTTGAATTTATAAGGATGTGTAAAATAGATAGTGAAAGTACCTCCTACTTAATTAGCCATTTTTACGGAGTATACTTTTTGCAGTGGGTCAGAAGAAAGCTCTTTCAAGAGCAGGCATCCTAACTTGACTGAACTGTCTTAAGATTAGGCTGTACAATAATCAGTATGGAAACCTTACGTAAGTAATTTATGCGAATCAAAAACCCATTTCACAATTTTGTGTAACATTTCACGAGATAGGTCATCTACTATATATTTATAAGTTTTCCCTTTTTGCGTTTGAATTCCACTTCCTATCAATACCGCCACTGTTGTAGACATCGACATTTTGCCACCCGAATATCCTTATCAAATTTACTAATTCTCAGTTTGTAAGGTTCCCCTTTAGTCCAGCGTCCTAGTTCTATCTCAATTAATTTTATTCTTATGGTTTAAATATCTTCATCAATTTTAGGTAAAATCATCACTGTCGGACATGCAGTTCCTCTACATTGACTTGTTTTTGATCACGTCTCTCGGCGTCACATGTAAGTTCCTTATTTATCTGCTCCTAGTAATTTATCATATCCAAAGCTCCACCTAAAATTCTTAGTTTTTGATCAGCTTGCCTTAAAGAGCCCATAAGTTCCTAAGTTAAGTTCGAGAACGAAGACTACAGGAACTTCGAGAGCATTCTTAGTACGCACATTTCGGACTTCAGAGCAAACATAATCTATGTTTTATAGCGGTGTGGCAGCTGAGTTAAACTTCATCGCATTGACTTGAGAGGTTGAAATGTTGGCTTGTGACCATTCGTGGGGAGTACTTTGAAATTTGAGTTTTCAGAAAACCTCCTCTTGGGTGCCATTTGTTAATTCGACATGTTTTACTAGGCTTTTTTCGAGGTAAAGCCTGGTAACAGGATCGTCAAGGAAAAATTATCATTCTTCGAACGTCATTTGAATGTGTTTCTTATATTTTTGTTCTATTCCATTAATAAAGAAGACACACTATCGAGCACTGGAACGAATTGTATTTTGTCCTGAGCTTTCAGTCTCCTGCAGGAGTCCATCGTCAGAGATGGAAAAACAGCAACTACTTGTGGCGCGTGTACAATAACTAAAATTTTGAACGTGTGGAAAGTCAATAATTGTGTGTTTGTGCCGCCGACTCGTCACTGTGGGTTGTGTTAGCCTGTGCCAGTAGGCAAGATCGATATGTTGGGTGGGATTATTTACAGAAATAGAATCGTCAACAAAAAAACAAGCAATAGTTATAGGGGGGAAGGGGCAATTAAAGTCATAGGAGAGGGGAAGGAGGATGAGAGGAGAGGGATTGTTTAGGCTTGGGCGCCAAATGGCCACATCTGCACCGAAAGTGGGGTGAGTATGGAGGATGTTGGGCCAATTAATTACGGATGTGATCGTTTGCAATAGCGTAAGGACCTGTACGCCGGCGCCAATTCGACACATCTGTTGACAGAATTCTCATCCGTG